TTTACTGGGAGTCTTGATCGTAAAGTGGTGTTATGGCTTATCAAATGTTTCTTCTGCACTATAGATATGATAGTATGGTTTTTTATCTTTTCTTCTGTTAATGCAATATATTATATTTACCATTTTGTGTATGTTGTATCATCCCTGGGATAAAGCTTAGCTGATTGTGGTGTATAATCTTTTTAATGTGCTTTTGGATTTGGTGTGCTAATATTTTGTTAAGGATTATCAGGGATATTGGTCTTTTTTATTATTATTATTTTCAGAGATTTTTGCTATAGGGAGCGTGTGCTCACCAGAAAGAGAGAGAGAGACAGACAGATGGCCATGCCGCAATCCCTTCTTCTCCATTCTCCTCTTGGGATCCTGGGCACACACACACACGTGCCCGGCGTGAGTTTAAGCCACCGGGTCCAAGACTCAAACTACGGTCCACTACATGGGAGTCCAGCAACATAGCCATTACACTAACTACTGGTCCCAGGGATATTGGTCTTCAACTTTCTTTTTTGCTGTGTCCTTGTCTGCTTTGGGTATCAAGATAATGGAAGCTTGATAAAATGAATTTGGAAGGGTTCTTTCCTTCTGGATCTTTAGAAATTTTTTGAGGGGATCTGGGATTAGCTGCTCTTTAAAAATGTGTAGAATTCAGAAATGAAGCCATCAAGACCTGGCTGGATTTTCTTTGTTGGGAGACTATCACCAAATCAATCTCATTGTTACTGGTCTATTCATGTTTTCTATTTCTTTCTGATTTAGCCTATCTAACTTGTGTGTGTGCAGAAATTTGTCCATCTCATTTAGATTATTTAGTTTGTTGCCAAATAGTCACTCATAATATTCTTTCATAAAATTTTGTATTTCCGGATATGTGAGTTGTAATACTATCACCTTCATTATTGAATTTATTTAACTAGTTTCTTTCTCATGTTTTTCCTTGATTAGTCTAGCTAATGGTTTGTCAATTTTGTTCCTCTTTATCTTTAAAAAAAGCTTTTGGTTTCACTGATTTTCTTTTTAAGTTCTCTTATTCTCTATTTCATCTCTATTCTTTATTATTTCTTCTGGCATTTTAAGGGCTTTTTTGTTGTTTTTTTCAGTTTTTTTAAATGAGACATCAAGGTATTTATTTGTCATTTCTCTATTTTTTTTTACTTGCTAGTATCTTGTTAAGATCATAGCAGTGATTGCTATGAACTTCCTTTTATAATTGCTTTCACTGTGTCTTAAAGAAAGTTGCGTGTTCATTATCATTGATTTCAATGATCTTTTGTTTTTAGTCTTAATTTCTTTAGTAATATGGATGTTGTCAGAAATAGGTTTTTTAGTTTCCATGTTTCTGTGTATTTTTACAGGCTCTTTCTGTGGTTGGTTTCAAGTTTATTTCCATTGTAGTTGGAGAAAATTCTAAACATAATTTCTATAAGTTTTTTTTTTTTGGTAAGGTTTCTCCCATAGGACTCATGCACTTGCTGGAGAGAGACAGTGAGAAGGAAAGTGAGAAATCCCCCCTCCCCCCAGTGGGGATGTTAATATTGTACTCCCTTCTCCTCCATTCTCTTCCTGGGATTTTAGGCATAGACACACATGTACAAAGCATGGTTTTCAAGATGCCAGGTCTGGGTCTTGAGCTGTGATTGACTATGTGGGAGTCCAGTGCCTTAACCACTATGCAACTTCTGGCTCCTATACTTTTAACATTTTAGAGGCTTATTATATATCTTAACATGTAGTCAATCTTCAAAAATATTCCATGTTTAAATGAGAAAAAAGTATATTTTGTGGATGCTGGGTAAAATGTTCTATACATGCCTGTCAGGTCCATTTGAGTTATGGTGTTATCTAGCTCCTGTGTCTATTTTGTCTAGATGACCTCTCCAGTGGTGACAGTAAGGTGTTGAAATCCACCAACTAGTGTGTTCTAATCTATCTATCCTTTTAGATCTAGCAGTCTTTCTTTTACATATTTGGGTAGCCAAGTGTTGAGTGCTTAAATATTTATAATTGTTTTATCATCTTGGCAAATCAATCCTTTTCAGAACTACATAATGTCCTTAGTTTCTCTTTTTATTATTTTTATCTTAAAATACATTTTGTTTGATATCAGTGTCCTGACTCCACCCTTTTAAATTTCCATTTACATAAAAAAAACTTTGCTCAACCGTTATCTTTCAGCCTATGTGTGTCTTTGTCACTGAGGTCTGTTTCTTATAAGTAACATATAGAGGGCTCCTGCTTTTGATCCACTGAGCCAATGTCTTTAGTTGAGAAATTCAACCCATTAGCATTTAATGTTATATAGATAAATGTAGATTTAATCTTGCTGTTTTGACACCCTCCTTTCCCATTTTAAGTTCTCATCTATTTATCTCCTTTCAGTTTTCCTGATGCAGTATTCCCTTGAGTATTTTCTGCTCCAATGTTGGTGAATTCTATCAGTTTTTGTTTGGGAATGATTTTATTTCTCTTTCCCATTCAAATGATAATATTGCCAGGTATAGTATTCTTTGCTAAAATAATTTTTCTTTCAAAGTTTTAAATACATCTTCCCATCTTTCCTTGGCCGCATTGTTTCTAGTGAGGTCTGATGTTAGTCTAATGGGGTAACCTTTGTAAATAACATGGTATTTCTCTTTGGCCATTTTTGTCTTTGTCTTTGATTTTTACCAGTTTGACTATGATGTACTTTGCAAAGGATATTTTTATGTTAAATCTATTGAAATTTGATGTCTTCTGTATTTCCTGGAGTTGGATGTCTGTATGCCTCTCTAAATTTGGAAAGTTTTCAGTTAGTATTTGATGAAATAATTCCCATTATGTGGATATTTGACATGTAGATGGTGTCTAGAATTTCCTTTATGTTGTCTTTATTTTTTATAGTTATTTTTCCATTCTTCTTGGTGGTTTATTCAGAGGTTTTGTCTTCCAGGTCAGAGTATTATTCTTTTCCATGGTCTAATCTCCTGTTAATACTGTTTAGGGTGGTTTTGATTTAATTCTTTATCTCCAGAAATTATGTTAGATCTTTTTATTTAAGAATATCTATCTCTTTATGTAATTCTTCCTTCAAGCCATGGAATTATTTTTCTCATCTCCTGGAATTGATTGTACATTTTCTATTACATCTCATTGAGTTTTGTTATAATGAATATTCTGAATTCTTTTTCTGACATTTCTATGATTTCTTGAGTTTCATCCATTGTTTGTGAGGAGTGACTGTGTTCCTTTTGTGTAGAGGTATTTCTTGTGAGTTTTGTTTATTTCATGTTTCTTGGGACTTTGCTTTGATTTTTAGATATCTGGTGATGTACTCCTTCAATTTTCTTTGAAGTAGGTTTCTTAGCTCTGTGTTCAAGTGTGCCTCTATAGTGTGAGTTAGCTACATGCCAGTTTTCCTTTTCTACTGTAAGTGACAGTGTGGTATCCACAGTGGGAGTTTCAGATTTAAATTTTTGAAGGGAGGTATCTCTCCTTTTTCTCCTGGAGGAGTTGTGGGGAAAGAATTCTTCCAAAGCCTCATTGTCTTCAGGTGGTTGGATCCTGTCTATCACAGCCTCTATGATCTCAATATGGCTGGGGGCTGACCTAGAGAGTTAGAATGTAATGTGTTGCCCAAGATCCTGAGAGGAGAAGGATGAGAAGGGATTGTGGCATGGCCATCCCCCCTGGGGGGGTGATTTCTCACTTTCTGTCCCTCTGTCTTTCTGGCAAGTGCATGTGCCATATAGCAAAAGCCTCTCAAAAAAATAATAATAATTTTTCAAATAGTACGCAACTTAATATTTTGTTTAACTAATATCTTTTTCTCTGAAACAGTGTCATGGCAATTGCTCCATGTTTGTATGATTCCTGCCCTCTTTCTCTTCCCCACGTATAGATTGAAAGCTTCATTTGTTCAGAACCATGCAAAATTGCTCCTCCAGCTGAGAGCTTAGAATGTGTTATTTAATTTCCAATCTAGGATTGTTTAGATATCTGTTGCCAATTTCCAATCCAATTTTTTTAGAATGTATTTTGTATGTCTACAATTCCTTTATATTTATTAAGAATTGTTTTATGACTCAGATATGGTTTATGTTAATACATTTTTCAAGGGACTAGCAGTTGGCATAATGGGTGTCACTGGATTCCCATGTAGTCAACCGTGGTTCGAGTCTTGGACCTGGTGGCTTAAACTCAGCCAGGTGCATGTTCATGTGAATGCCCAAGATCCCGAAAGGAGAAGGATGAGAAGGGATTGTGGCATGGCCATTCCCCCTGGGGGGGAGTGATTTCTCACTTTCTGTCCCTCTGTCTTTCTGGCAAGTGCATGTGCCATATAGCAAAAGCCTCTCAAAAAAATAATAATAATTTTTCAAATAGTACGCAACTTAATATTTTGTTTAATTAATTGCTTGTGTGGTATTCAGTAAGAGTCTGATACTTCTCCCCAGTCAAGTATCCTCAATAGCGACAAAGTTTAGCTACTCTTAATAATGGTCCCCTAAAACACATAGAACATGCAGACGTACCTCTGAACTTGCTTCAACTTAATACATTTTTTATAACGGCATAGGCAGAGACAGCCTCTGCATTCTCCTCACTCCTGGAGGGCTGAGGGATGATAAGTACAGGCTGAATCGCCTCTGCTTTCTATTTATTCCATGGTGGGTGGGAGCTGGATGGTGGTCAGTGCACATCAGGTTGGTCCCTCATTCTGGGGCAGGGATAGCCAAAAAGCCTCTCAAAAAAATAATAATAATTTTTCAAATAGTACGCAACTTAATATTTTGTTTAACTAATATCTTTTTCTCTGAAACAGTGTCATGGCAATTGCTCCATGTTTGTATGATTCCTGCCCTCTTTCTCTTCCCCACGTATAGATTGAAAGCTTCATTTGTTCAGAACCATGCAAAATTGCTCCTCCAGCTGAGAGCTAGTTCCATTTTAAACACATATACACAACTACTTTCCTTTCTCTTTTTTTAATCAATGAACTATTGCAAATAAGTGTTTCTTACATGTGGGGGATGGATATCTGGGAAGACTGGCTCAGTTCTTGTCTGATGCTCATCACCGAAATATCCTTTATTCTCCACTCCCCGTGTATCTCTAGGTGGGCTGACAAGAAGAATATTGAACATTAATCTAGGCTATGGGATACGTCTATAATTAAAATGAAATAATCTGTAAGATTTAAAAAATACTGATGCTCAAGTTGCATCCCATAATAAAGTTACAATGTCTTAGAGAGAAAGTAATACCAATATATTTCTGAAAGATCCCTAGGTAATTTCAATGTGTAGCAAAGTTGGAGCCCGCTGGTATAAACATTTGGATATGACTAAGGATGTGAAAGTCTGATTTAACTATTATGCTTGTGTGGTATTCAGTAAGAGTCTGATACTTCTCCCCAGTCAAGTATCCTCAATAGCGACAAAGCTTAGCTATTCTTAATAATGATCCCCTTCAACACATAGAACATACAGACGTACCTCTGGACTTGCTTCAACTTAATACATTTTTTATAACGAATTAATAATGTAACAACCACAACACCGATAATAACCAGGATGAGCACAACCACCAAGATGGCGATATCTGCAATTAAAAATATAAGCTTTAGCCAGGACATCAGTTTTAGGACAGTGGAATAGTAACATTTAATGGAACTGTTACAATCCTGCTTCTCCCTTCCTAATAGACTTGCATTCCCCTTCTCCCCGATTATTGTTATATAATGTAAAAAGTCAAAACATTAAACATATTTTCATTTGTATTAGTAATTGACACTACACCCAAGATTTCATTATATTTAAGGAACCACAATCAACAGGAAAAGTTTTGGTTATCAAGCTATTAACTGATTATTAAAAAGGTCTTGTGCTGTGGGTTATCAGAAGACCTAAGCCAAATTTAGCTAGAATAGGGTACATTAATTATAAAAGCAATTGTACTCAATTCAATTTGGGGATCCAAACAGGGAATATAAGAAGACCATACAAACCCACACAAGAACAACAAATATGTAGCAGACTTGGAAAATAAGAAAACTGCTTTCTCATTTGGTAGGTTTTAGATATATGTAAGTTATTTTATTCTAGGATGCTCACTGGTAACATTTAAGGTTTCTTCCCAGTATCCAGGTGCCTGTTCTTCACATGGGCACTCAGGTTCATGGCCATCTACCTGGAAAAGCAGTCAATCATGTGATTTTTGTCAAATGACTGATATACGCTGTATTTTTCACGTTGCTTTGCTTGGTGTTAGTTTTACATTAAACATACAAATATAACTTTTTTTTGGGGGGGGCAAGTTTTTGCTATAGG